AAGACAAAAATGGATGGCTTTTTTCGGCACCATTTGGTAAGGAGAGCAATATTTGCGACTTGGATGAGATATAAAAAACATTTTTATGAGACAAGACCACTCTGGATTGTACCAGCAGAAGTTTTAGTGCCTTACTCAAGACAGCAGGGTAAGGACTGGTTGCCATACAGAGACTTAATTAAGAAAGAGGGAACAGAATGGGTTATGAAAAAGCAGAATGAGATTGATTATAAATATGAATGGTTGAGATATATGCAAATTTATGATGTTTTTAAATCTGACAAAAGGAATTTTGGTTTTAGGGAAGAAAAAAATGAGATGGAAAATATATGGGAGGGAAAAGGGAAAAAAAAGATTTCAAATATGTATAAAATATTGTTAAAATGGTATACAGAAGATGAAATGGTTAAAGAACAAATGTTAAAATGGGCAATTAATATGAACAAAGAAATACCAATTGAAACGTGGGAATTTTTGTGGAAAAATTCTATTAAGATTTCGACATGTACTAATGTTAGAGAAAATTGTTATAAGATGATGTATAGATGGTACATGACACCAAAAAAAATAGCTAATATGAACCAAAATATGTCAAATAGTTGTTGGAAATGTAAAAAACATGAAGGTTCATTTTACCATATGTGGTGGACGTGCGAAAAAGCCAGGGATTTCTGGACAAAAGTCCACGAAGAGATACAAAAAATTTTTAAATGCTCATTTAAAAAATCACCGGAAATTCTGCTTTTGGGTCTCAAAATGGAAGAAGTGAACATATCTAAAAAGACTTTGCTCTGGTACTTAATAACAACAGCTAGAATGATTTATGCGCAATACTGGAAATTGGATAAAGTACCAGAAATTGAAGATTGGATACAAAAAGTTCTGTTCATGGCAGAAATGGATAAAATCACAAGAAAATTAAACAACAAGGAAGATGAAGAGTTCATGGAAGAATGGAAAGACTTCAAAATCTACCTGGAAAAGAACTGGGATGTTAAACAAAATTTACTATGTTTAGAACAATATTAATATAACTGTATGTTATCTAGGGATATTAATGTTTAAGAACAACGAGAATACTGAAGATGGTGTTGCAACATGGGGGGAAAGGGAGAGGTCATTGCGGGAAGTCAGGAGGGTAGGGGAGGGAATTGGGAACAATGTAATCAATGACTGACGATTTTTAACGGATGTAACGATTTCTCAATGAAGGAAAAAAAATAAAACTTTTGTTTACAAAAAAAAAAAGAAAGACAGTGACTAGCCGAAGGTCACCTAGGAGGTTCCTTGTGTGTGTGTGTGTATTAAGTGCTGTCAAGTCACTTCCCACTTATGGCAACCTTCTGAATTAATGTGCTTCAAAACATCCTATCATTAACAGCCTTGCTCAGGTCTTGCATGGCTTCCTTGGTTGAGTCAATCCATCACATGTTGGGTCTTCCTCTTTTCGTGCTGCCTCCAACCTTTCCTAGGTTCTTTGACTGAGACTTCAAGCCTGGGTATGCCAGACCCTAATCTGGTGCTCTAATCCAGGGGTATCAAGCATATGGCCCATGGGCCGCCTGTGGCCCCCGGGGGGCTCCTATATGGCCTGCCAAGAACTTGGCATCTGCTGCTTCCTGCTTCTGGCATCGCAGCTCCTTTCCCTCAGTCTCTGCTATTTCCTGCTGGGCAGAGGAGAGGGGGGGAAAGCCTGCCTTTAATGGGCTGAGGCACCAACCCCCTATATAGGGGGTGGTGGCTGAGGGCTCCTCCTCCCCCTCCTCCTCCTATGGGGGGGAGGGGAAGGGAAGGAGTCAGAGAGAGAGAAAAATGGACTCTGGTGGCACTTTTAAGAAGACCAGCAATGTTTTATTCCAGGTATAAGCTTTTGTTTGCCTGCACACTTCTTTGAGTGGGGGGAGATAGAGAAAGCATGCCAGAGAGAGACAGTGAGTGAGTCAGTTCCAGCAATGTTTTATGCCAGGTATGAACTTTTGTTTGACTGCACACTTCATGGGGTGGGGGCAGTGGAAAAGCTAGAGAGAGCATGCCAGAGAAAAAGGCAGTCTTGTGTAAGACCAACAGCATTTTATTTCAGCTATAAGCTCGTGTTTGCCTGCACACTTCTTCAGGGAGGGGGTGGAGGGGGGAGAGAGAGAGAGAGAGAGAGAGAGAGAGAGAGAGAGAGAACTATATGGTCCTCCCTTTCCATTTCTAACAGATGGGGGTGAAGAAACCTAACAGTACTGCTTGCATTCCTTATTAGTGAAAGGGAGCAAAAGTCCAGTAGCACCTTAAAGACTAATAAACTTTCTGTCAGGGTAGGAACTTTCATGAGTCATTGCTCACTTCTTCAGATACAGTTAGAATGATAGTCCATCTTTCCTTATATCTTGGAGAATGAAGTGATTTCAGATGCCAAATGACAATAGCAGGCACTGGTAATGAGAGAAGCAGCCTAGGTCTCAATTCAGTCCTAGAGTTTGCATTGAGCTTCATGATCAGTTGGAATTCAGCAGTCTCTCTTTATAATCTCCTTTTGGAATTCCTTTGTAAGAGAACTGCTACACTTAGGTCAACAATTGAATGTCCTGGAAGGTTAAAATGTCCACCCACTGGTTTTTGAATGTTGTGGTTTCTAATAGCAGTAGAAAAAGTAAGAGTCCAGGAGCCCCTTTAGACTAACAAAATTTGTGGTAGGGTATGTGTTTTTATGAGTCATTGCTCACTTCTTCAGTCTTATTTTCATTTATTCTTTGCATCCTCCTGGACTAAATCCTCTTGTACCGAATTGAGACCTGAGTTTCATGTCTCATTACCAGTGCTAATATCGCCACGCCTACTACCCCTCTGCATATCACACCCAATCCAATCAAGCTGGCTACTGCCATTCAGCATCTGAAATCATTTTTATAAAGTTTATATATCTGGTACCTTGTGTTAAATTTTATGGCACAAATGGCCCAGCCCGATAAAGTGACATTTATGTCAGATCTGGCCCTCGTAGCAAATGAGTTCAACACCTCTGCTCTAATCACTATGTGATGATGACTTCTGTACATAGCTAGAGTTGAGAAAAGAGATTTTCAAAGCTAAATTGGTTAGCTGTATTTAGCTTATTATTTTCAGCCTTCTCCTGTCATCTGTTCTTTTGTAGTGATTTTGATTGTAGCACATTATAGTTTGGATTGTATGGGATGATTTGTGGGAGTTTTGCCTTTGGGGTACAGAGTCAGAGTTAGATGTAATTGCCCTTTGGTACTTTGTATCTCTATAAATCTAGTGGGGGTGGGGGGTTGGTCAAGCGTATTTGTTTTGTCCTTTGCTTTGCTTTATATGATTTGGATCCTTAGTAGGACTCTCTGTATCGTGGAGTTTAGCAATCTATTTATCTAGTACACTTTTATCCCACCATTTGACTAGTTAGCTCAGGGCAGTATACACTGTTCGATCTTCCCCCTTTTAGCCTCAGAACAACCTTAAGAAGCAGGTTAGGCTGAATGTCTGGCCCTAGATCATTCAGTGAGCTCCATGAAAGCGTGGTGATTTGAACTGAGGTCTCCTAAATCCTAGTCTGATACACTAGCTACTACACCGTATTGTCTCTCTTTCCTGTTTCCCATTTTCTGCTCCAGTTACTATGCTTTTTGAAGGCTGGAGGCTCCTGGGAACTGCATAGGATGTGAGGGGTACAGTTGGAAATAGGAATCTGTGGAAATCATTCGCCCCACACACATCAAAATAACCTGCTTATGAGGATTTGGCATCTTTAGCACCAAATACAAGACACTATGTACCAAATGTCCAAATCAAAATTCTGGAGAATTGAATTCACTTGAACTTGAATTCACACTATACATAATGATCGTTTGGACAATGCGTTAGATCCAATCAGCCTTTCTGCTGGTGGAAATAGGAGGAGGGGGTCGCCTTTGACCACAGACCAGTATCTGCTGGGGATCATGGAACCTGTATGGACAACAGCTATGTGGGATGAAATGTGTAATAAGTAGATGAAGTAGGATGAGAATGAATGAAGAAGCTGGCTGGATCTAGCCCATGGAATACACATAGCCTTGTCCATAGGTACCTTTTAGTACATGGGTGGCCAAACTGTGGCTTGGCAAACATGAGGCTCTTTCATACATATTGTGCGGCTCCTGGCAGGGTGGCTGGGGAAGTGCCTCCCTGATCGGTCTTCCCTTTCCTAGCCAGTGTTCCCCTCCCTGGGTAGGCTTGAGGTGGGGGTGGGTAGCAGAGAAAGAAAGCAACCGTAATTTTAAATGCATCCTCAAAGTACCCTCCCCCCGGCCGGCTTGGAGAAAGCATTTGTATCAATATCTGTTTTTACCCCTTTTGTTTTTATTCCTGGCAGTCTTATTTAATGTTAATAAAAGCAAAATTGCACATTTTCCAATAAAAACGTGTGTGTAATATTTGTTCATGTCTTGTGGCTCTCAGACATCTGATGTTTCTTCTATGTGGCTCTTACATTAAGCAAGTTTGGCCACCCCTGTTTTAGTATTTTATTTGCTGTTTCTATTGAAACAGAGGAACTGCAGCGCCTTCACAAATCTGCTTGTCTTATTTTGTCAATGATTCTTTAAAAGGCTGTGAAAATATTATTAGCTGTTTGAAAAGTAACTTACCATAGACCTAACTTGTAACCTTAGCTTTTCCTTTGTTTTTAGTGTGGTGAGCCAGACCTATTACACAGAAGATGTCCAGCAGAGGCGGAAAAAAGAAGTCAACCAAGACTTCTCGCTCAGCCAAGGCTGGGGTCATATTCCCTGTAGGACGAATGTTACGTTATATTAAGAAAGGTCATCCGAAATACAGAATTGGAGTTGGTGCTCCTGTGTATATGGCAGCTGTACTTGAATACCTGACTGGTAAGTTTACTAGAACAAAGGTTAGAGATAAAGAACCTGCAGAACATGCAAAACACCCCAGTAGTTTTAATAATCGGGAAGCAAATGCTTAGCCTGAAAATAGAACATGTTCCGTGTAGTTTTGTGATTAGTCTACGAGGCAGCTGCTGAGGTTGCAATTGGAAGTAGAAGAAAACAGCTGGGGTTGTGGGGAACATTTCCTGATTTTCAATGAAAAATGCCACAACAGGAAAGGATTTCAGCACCTCTCTTTCTACCTGTGCCAGTCTTGCATTTAAAATTGCTGCCTTAGCGGTTGCATTGTGTAAAAATAATGTTTAAAATGTCCAAAAGAATAATAACTGAACATAACAAATTTATAATGCATAATAATGTGCAGCATTAAGCTCTCATTTTTGTTGTGATTCTTGATAGCTCAGCCATTTCATCAAGGTTTAGTTTTCTTTATCTTGGATGTAGTGTACCTTAGGCTGCAACTGTTGTAAACCCTCTACTCTAAGTTCCATTTGCAATGGATTCTCACTAAGACATTTAGGCTTCTATTTGAGTCTTTTGTGATGCATAAATTGCATGCATATGGATGTGCAGTGTTAGCAGAAAGAGTTACTGTCAAAGCCTAACTGCCGTTTAATGCATGTATTGTGTCTATTCTGATAGGGCTATATGTGGCAAGGTGCATTAAAAAATACCGAATTATTGCAAGGTTAGGGCAACCAAAATGGCAGTTCGTTTTGTGGATTAAAAGTACACTATAAAATTATTGCTACTGTCAAACATTATCCCTGAAATTAGGGGAAAATTTGTTCCAGTGTAGCTACTTTTGCATAACTGGGCAGTGGATTAGACTGTCAAGCAGCCAGTTAGAACAGCAAGGAGAACAACTGTTTGGAAATCCTGACAGTGGACAACTGGGACATTTTGATTTCTCTGTCTCTTTTGAAGAAATTGTATAACTGTGAAGTTTGGTTTTGCTTTCTACATTTTGTGCATTTAATTCAATTGGATGCTTTTTACTATGGTCATTATAGGCAGTATATAGTTGCATTTGCCAAAATGAGGTCTGGGACATTATTTAATCTTTATAGTCATTGTGTGGAAGCTGCCGAAAAACTACTTATCTGGTAGTGGCAAGAGGTTCTATACAGAGCCAACTTAAGTGTGAAGGCATTTCCAAGGGTTAGGCTACTGTGTGAAGTGCCTCCATGCAAAAGTGGGGCTTTAATGTTAACACCGGCCTGCAGATGTGCTCTTTATAAAGAATGACAAATAGTGTTAAATAATCAGTGTTATATGCAGACAGTGTCCATATTCACATGGATAGTGGGAAAATAGCTATAGATATGGAGGTGGTTCTGGGCAACTGAAAGCATGCAGATGCAAAACCTAACCCCTTGGGGTGGGGAGTGGAGATTCACTAAGAGGTAGGTGTTGATGGCCTTTTTTCTTGGTAATTAAAACCTGGCGTACACTTGCCAAATAATTAAATGGTAGAATGTTGACATGGTAGAATGAAATGCACCACATGGCCAGAGACTAACTTTGAATGTTCCTTCACAGAAACAACTCCAGTGCAAACAGAAAGCTAGTCCAGAAGGGAGTTCTACCCCCTTTCATTATGTACTATGCTGGTTTTCTGTTTGCAAAAAATTTTAACATAGGGAGCATGTACCAGAATGTGATTCTCCATGAATGTCCATCTGCAGTTTGAAGTGGTATAGTCCATTCGGCATTCTACAGCCTTATTCTTCTTCCTATATATGTAAAGGTTGTGTTTAGGCAATTTAAATAATATGAGAGCCTAAATGATAAAAATTGCCCCAATTATATGTTTTGAACATGAAAGTAAAACTAGTGCTACCATGCAAACTGACTGAATGCAGACTTTTCCATGTGCAGCATTAAGCTCTCATTTTTGTCATGAGTCTTGATAGCTCAGCTGTTTCAACCCAGCCAAGTCTATAGTAGTGTTTGTGACAGATGTGGCAAGTCACACATGCGTGATATATTCACACTGTTGGAATTCAGTTGGAAGAATGAAAAGGGAATCTAATCCCATATGACATTTCTTGTACATGAATTCACACTCAGGGGTCTCTCATATGGTATCTGTACAACCGTCCTCTTAAAATACAGCAGTTCACTCAGGAATACTCTTAATATTTCTGTTGAGAAATGTTCTGAAGAACTGCAGAAATCTGGTAGCTCAGATCCAAGCCCCAAGAGCTGGTGCATGACTGAAAAGGCATCATTAGTTCTTATGATCCTGTAATCACTCAGCAGATAGAAAATATGTACAAAGAGACCCAGTTCCAGAGACCATAGCAATTGCACCAGAGTTCATTGCATCCCCTTTGCAACTCAGCAATCATGGACCAGCATGCCAGTGATACCCCATGTCAGCCATATATGGAAATAGCCAACCAGTGTGTGTTGATAACTGGCACACCTCCTTGACATGAGCCTGGTAATATCCACATGCTGGACCCAACAGGGAAGGCACAAAGGGAACTCAATTCCTCCCTCACTGTAGGGTGGATACTGGTGGTTACAATAAGAGTCCTGGGGCAAGTACACTCCAGGGAAGTCTACAGTCATCCCACTTAATCAGTATTAGTGATTGACTCTTTCCATTCAAATGCAGGAGTCTCAGTGCATGGATGAAACAGTGTAGGGAGAAAGGGTTTAAGTTTGTTAGGCTCTGGGATGCTTTTGGAACAAGCAGGACATATACAAAAGAGATGGCCTCCACTTGTACTGAGATGGAACCAGGCTGCTGGTGCTTAAAATCAAAAAGTTGGCAGAACAGTTTTTAGACTAAATCCTGGTGGAAAGTCTCTGGTCTGAGATGGCTCATCTTTAAGATGTGAAGGGGTAATTGTTACAGTTCTAGAGGAAAGTGGATTAGGACTGGGCACTGAGAGGGTGGCAAACAATATTGACTTCCTGGCAAGGTCTAGAGGCCACAGGAGGCAGGTTGCAGGCCTAACATGCCTGGGGAATTATAGATGTTTATATTCGAATGCCAGAAGTGTCCAAGGTAAAATAGGGGAGCTGGAATGCATAGTGACAGAGGAGAACATAGACATCGTGGGCATTTCAAAAACTCGGTGGATGAGGATAATCAGTGGGATATAGTGATCCCTGCTTAAGGGGGAAGAGAACACTCTGTGTCCAATGGGGTGGCCTGAGTATACTTCTTGTTCCATTGGCTGCTGGGGTAGGCAGGAGTGGCCCAGATGTCTGTGAGGTCGGATCTCTTCTGTGGGTGGGTGGTGCTTCCAGGATTTGAAGTTGGTGTAGATGGTGATGGAAGGAACCAAGTTTGATGCATTTAGAACTGGAGACAGTGTGTTCTCTTTC